TATACCCAAGGAATGCTCAACCACACCATAAGAGCACTTGTTCAGCTATGTTCATATCAGCATTGTTTGTAATAGCCAGAACATGGAAACAACCTAGATGCCCTTCAATTGAAGAATGGATAAACAAAATGTGGTACATATACACAATGGAATACTACTCAGCAGAGAAAAACAATGACATCATGAGGTTTGCAGACAAATGGATGGATCTAGAAAAAATCATCCTGAGTGAGGTAACCCAGACTCAGAAAGACAAACATGGTATGTACTCACTCATAGCAGGATACTAGATGTGGAACAAGGATGACTTGTCTGCTACTCACATCACCATGGAGTCTACCTGGAAAACAGGACCCCAAGAAAGACACGGGGATCACCCAATGACAGAGAAATGGAATGAGATCTACATGAACAGCCTGGACATGAATGGGGGTAGTGAAAGGCGAGGGTCGAAGGAAAGAGAGCTTGGGGGAGCGGGAGATCCCAGCTGGATCAACAACAGAGAGGGAGAACAAGGAATAGGAGACCATGGTAAATGAAGACCACATGAGAATAGGAAGAAGCAAAGTGCTAGAGAGGCCCACAGAAATCCACAAAGATACCCACACAACAGACTGCTGGCAGTGGTCGAGAGACAGCCCGAACTGACCTACTCTGGTGATGGGATGGCCAAACACCCTAATTGTTGTGCTAGAAACCTCATCCAACTACTGAAGGATCTGGATGCAGAGATCCATGACTAGGCCCTGGGTGGATCTCTGGGAGTCCAATTAGCGAGAATGAGGAGGGTTTATATGAGCGAGAATTGTTGAGACCAAGGTTGGATAAAGCACAGGGACAAATAGTCAAATGAATGGAAACACATGAACTATGAACCAATGGCTGAGGGGTCCCCACTGGATCAGGCCCTCTGAATGGGTGAGACAGTTGATTGGCTTGATCTGTTTGGGAGGCATCCAGGCAGTGGGACCGGGTCCTGTGCTCATTGCATGAGTTGGCTGTTTGAAACCTGGGGCCTATGCAGGATTGCTTGGCTCGGCCTGGGAGGAGGGGACTGGACCTACCTGGACTGAGTCTACCACGTTGATCTCAGTCTGTGGGGAAGGCTTTGCCCTGGAGGAGATGGGAATGGGGGGGGGGGGCTGGGGAGAAGGTGAGGGGGACAGGAGGGGGGAGAACAAGGGAATCCGTGGCTGATATGTAGAACTGAATTGTATTGCAAAATAAAAAAAAAAAACCTAAAAAAAAAGAGAATATCAGAGTTTCTCAAATGTAAGTTTCAGATATGAAAGAAGGCCAGACAACATCACCACCTATTCTAAGTTTAGAACATGTTTCTGTTTGAATGAGGGATAGTTACTTCATGGTAGCTGTAATATTGACCTGGTTAAACATATAATGCCATTGCCTTTCAACGCTGGATAGTCATATCACTATTTTACAGCTACAGGTAATAGTCATATCATACAGATACACTCACTCTAGGGGTCATAGTGACTTGGATCTTGTTACTTTTATGAAATAAGTATGACATAAGGTGATATGAAAATGTGTCCAGTTGAATAGGTGTAATCTCCTGATGATTATTCTTTTTTTCTTTCTTTATTAAGAAACCTTCTACTCATTCTACATGCTATCCACACACCCTTCTCCTCCCTCCTCCCACCCTCAGCCCTATTTCCAAAGCCACCCCACATCCCCATATCCCCCAAATCGAGGTCTCCCATTGGGAGTCAGCAAAGCCCAGCACACTAGGCGTAGGCAGGTCCAAGCCCCTTCCCACTGCACTAAGGCTGTGCAAGCAAGGAGTCACACCACAGACACCGGATTCCAGAAGCCTACCCATAGACCAGGGACAGATCCCAATCTCCCTGCCTGGGTGCCCCCCAAACAGTTCGAGCCAAACAACCGTCTTCCATATCCAGAGGGCCTAGTCCAGTCCCATGGGTGTTCCACAGCGACCAGTCCACACTTCATGGGCTTCCACTAGTGTGGCCAATCATCTCTGCATGTTATCCCATCACGATCTTGATACCCCTCACCTGCAGTATCTCTCCTCTCTCTCATCAATTGGATTCTCAGAGCTCAGCCTGGTGCCTGGCCATGGATCTCTGTATCTGTCCCCATCAGTCACTGGATAAAGGCTCTATGATAACAGCTAGGTTATTTGCTAGTCTGGTCACCAGAGTCAACTGGTCTAGGTACCCTCTGGACCACTGCCAGCAGACCAAGGTAGGGTCAACCTTGTGGATTCCTGAGAGCCTCCCCAGCACCCTGCCTCTTCCTATTCCCATGATGTCCTCATGTATCATGGTATCTTCCTCCCTGCCCTCCCACTCTGTCCCTGTTCCAGCTTGACCCTCCCATTTCCCCATGTTCTCATCCCCGACTCCTCATCTTCTTCCATATGCCCCCCCTCCCTGCAGTCCACTCACGTGGATCTCATCCACTTCTCCTTCACAGGGTCCTGATAAGTATTCTTAGTATTCAACTTGACTACATCCACAACTAGCTAGATTCCCAAAGTAGGTGGGCACACTTGTGAGGTGCTTTTGCTTAATCATTATGTGTGTCATGTTCCACTTCTGAGCCAGATCTTTGAAGTGGGAAAACAGATGTTTTATTAGGGCAGACTGGGATTAGGGCAAGGGTTCACGACTCCTTTTATGGGTGGAACAACCAACTGTATTACAGGGATCTCCTAAAATTCATCTCAGTAGATGGACATTGTGCTTGTAGGACAATTATCTAGTCCTCTTGATTATGGAATCATCTTGTACTACGGCAAGCCCCATGGATGGTCTTGGTAATGGGTTCACAGACAGACCAAGACAGCAGGCAAAAATAGGGTTTACTACCTTGAACATGAAGTTTGCTGAGGCTGGTTCTGCTTTATCCAAGACTAGCCCACAACCTACTGTGTAGACAGGAATGTCCCTGAAATACTCCATGAACCTCTCTGTAGATGTAATTCTGAATGATTTTATTAAATAAGAAACACAGATCCAAATGCAGAGTTAAAAACCCAAGAGGTCAGAGCAGCAGCCAAGAGCTAAGACCAAGACCGCCTTCTTACCCTAAGCTGCTGCTGTTGTCCTTCCCCTGAGAAAGAGGCCTACTTCCTGTGTGTCTTTTTTTTTTTACTTTCTGTTCTGTCTTCTCATTGGTTCTACACCCAACCACATGACCTCCTCTCCACTGCCTGTCTATACAGACCTCCAGGTCTCTATGGTTGGTATTGAGATTAAAGGCATATATTTCCCTGCTGCTGGTGTCCTTGAACACACCGAGATCTGCCTGTCATGTGATCAGGATTAAGGGCATGTGCTACCACTGCCAGTCTTCTGCTAAATGGCTTGTTATTAGCTTTGACCCCATGGCACTTTCCTTTATTCACATACAAATAAAATCACAATTCAGCATAAATAAAATACCACCATACCTCTCCGGAAAGAACTCCTATTATTTCCACCAGCCATATAACCACGTCCTATGCAGGACATGGAAAAGTATTGGGTGTTATATTTCGTCTGATATTTTTAAGTTCTTTGAAGCACAGCTGGGGTGTATTAGGAGAGTTTAAGATGGACTTTTAGCAGTAGGGTAACAGAAAGGAGTTTGGAGAGAATGGATGAGAGCTGGAGAGAGTGTGTGAGGTGTTGGGGTGACATATTGCACACCCCAATCTGAGAACAAAGCCAGAAGCTAGATTATCCATAAAGGCCAGATGTGGTATTGTATTCCCCCAAATATTGTGCATGCTAATAAACTTATCTGGGGTCAGAGACAGAGCAGCCACAATATTAAACATAAAGGATAGGCAGTGGTAGCACACGCCTTTAATCCTAGCATTCCAGAGGCAGAAATCCATGTGTTCAAGGATACAGACAGGCATGGTGACTCATCACGCCTTTAATCCCAGATGCAAGCATTTAATCCCAGGGAGTGGTGGTAGAAAGCAGAAAGGTATATAAGGCATGAGGACCAGAAACTAGAAGCATTTGGCTGGTTAAGCATTCAGGCTTCTAGCAGCAATTCAGCTGAGACCCATTCTGGATGAGGACTCAGAGGCCTCCAGTCTGAGGAGACAAGACCAGCTGAGGATCCGGTGAGGTGAGGTAGCTTTGGCTTGTTTTGTCTCTCTGATCTAAGAACATTGACTCCAATAACTGGCCTCGGGTTTTATTTTATTAATAAGAACTTTTAAGATTCATGCTACAGCCAGACAATTTATGGCTCACACCCTTAATCCTATTACTGGAGAGGCACAGAACCCTCTGGATCTCATCTGGGTCTCTGGTTTCAAGGCCACTCTGGGCAGAGAACCTTTAATCTCAACACCTGAGATCTCATGCCTTTGCTTGGGAAGCACACACACTGTTAATCCCAGGAAGTGATGTCAGGGCAGAGAAAAGTATATAAGGGCTGAACAAACAGAAACTCACACTCTTAGGGCTGAGGATTTTGTAGAGGTAAGAACAATAGCGGGCTCTTCTGTTTCCTTGATCCTTCAGATTTATCCCATTATTTGGCCTGTTTTGTTTTTCATTAATAAGACCTTTTAGCAATTGGTGTTACACCGTCATCTCCGAGGACAGGTCTTTCTGTGTCTCATCTGTCCCTTCCACAGAGGCATCTCTGATACTCGCTGGAGGCTTTCCCTGGCCAAGCTTGACAACCAAGCATCCCATGAGGTGAGAATGACCAGCATCTGTAGTTGAGGAGTGAAGGGTCCATTGTTTGCTAAAGCTGCACGAGGCTGGTTTCTTAATCCACACACAGCTAAGAGACAGAGATTGCTGTTGCATGAAAATGGTGTTGATAACTTATTTATTCATTTCTGGACAAAGAAAAACAAACCAAGTCAAAAGTTTGAGAAACACCCAGAATGGACCAGAGTGGGCAGCAGGAAAGCAAAGGAAGACCCTCAAGTAATCAGAGTGAAATGTGTGCTAAACCAAAAACCTTCTACTGCACATTTCTCGATCTTTGATTGCCAGGATTACGGCAGACCCCAGATGTGAGCAGCTCTGGTGAGGATAGAGGGGTCCTCAGTTGATCCAGATCTCTGACCTTCTCACAGTAGAGACAGAGGTTCAGGGACTGTGACAAGCTCCCTGGAGTGTGTGAGGGGTGGTTATGAGTTTAGGTGGGGACAGCGTTCTCAGGTCCCACTTGTCCTGTGAGAGCCCCTTTGATTCTGACATGTATTTTTTAAAACTGAAGACACCTATGCTCTCCCAGTAAGTGTACTCCTTATAATTACCGGAAGGGTGGATGCCCAATCCTTGTCTGGCAAGCAAGTGTTGGTAATCTTATGATATGTGAATGAGGGCCCTGTGGTTGATCAGTGAGCAGGAAGAGTTCCCAGCAAAAGTTTAGAGGGCACTGTGGTTGATCAGGGTGCAGGAAGAATCCCCAGGAAAAGTTCAGATGTACATGTGCATGCTGGGAAATGTACTGATCCCATCCCTCTGTCCCTTGCATTCCTTCTCGTAGGCCGTGGAATGACTGTGAAATCAGGATCTTGCTTTGGGAATAGGAAGTGAGCCACCCAGGCAAGATGCTGAAGAAGGTCAGGTCTATTGGCAAGAGACTCTACCAGGGAGTCCTGAGGAAGACCTGGCTTTACTGCTTGCAACTGATGCTCAATCTAAAGACCTTGCACTTGTGCCTATCTAATGACAGAGCAGGGATCAAAGCCTTGATTTCTCCTTATTCAGAGGACTTCTACAGGATCCTTGGTCACAGAAAAGAATGGAGCCCCTTCCCAGGTTAGTCCCTTCTGCAGAGGCCTCTGAGGCCCTCCAGAGGGTGGCATCAGCTGGCCTTTCTTCATGATCACAGAATGTAGACAATCCCCATTCCCACAGGCTTCTGTGGCACAAAGAAGCAATGTCTGGCCTCTCTGTGTGTCTAACTCCCTCTCACACCCAAGCAATGGAACTATGACTTGTTCATTGCTGGTTTTCGACCAAGGGGCCAATTAATTACTGAAGGTGATTCAGGGGGAACCAGGGCACCATGCTTATGATCCACAATTAGCTAGAATAGCAAAGTAATTGGTCACAATTGTGAGGGATTTTCACATAATCAGTTTGGGGGTATGTTCCACTTCTGAGGTAGATCTTTCAGGTGAGAAAACAGATGTTTCATTAGGGCATACTGGGATTAGGACAAGGGTTCATAATCTCTGTTTCAAGACCCCTCTTATGGGTTGAACAACCAACTGTATTTCAGGGATCTCCAAAAACATCTCAATTATTGGATGTTTATGTTAGGATTCAGAAAATTAGCCAAAGTATAGTTATAAAGTAGCAACAAAATTATTGTAAGATTGGGGATCACCACAACATGAAGAATTTTATTTAAATGTCCGAGCATTAGGGAAGTTGAGAACCACTCCATTAGAGGCTATGTCATTTAGATTTTGGCAGTTACTGAAGACCAGCAGAGACAATTCTCTTGAGTGATCAACAGATACTGGATCCTTAGACCTTCTGTACATAGGCAGCCATTTTGGATTAGCTGGACCACAGGCCACAATTCATTGTAGTTAATCATCTTAAGAGGGTGGCATCAGCTGGCCTGATCTCCTGAGCACAGAATGTAGGCAAGCCCCCATCCCACAGACCTCCATGGTACAAAGCAGCAATGTCTGGCCTCTCTGTGTGTCTAACTCCCTCTTTAACCCCAAGTAATGGAACTATGAGTTGTTCACAGCTGATTTTTGACCAAGGGGCCAATTAATTATTGAAGGTGTTTCAGGGAAACCAGGGAATCATGCTTATGGTCTCTCTCTCTCTCTCTCTCTCTCTCTCTCTCTCTCTCTCTCTCTCTCTCTCTCTCTTTCTCTCTCTCTCTGTTTCTTCTACCACAGGACCTCTCTATGATGAAGCTGGTAAAACCCAGCTTCACATGTACTCTCATCCTCCAGTGACATGGCTGACTTTTGTGTACCAGCCTTGGGATTAGTGGTTCCCTGTGCCTTTTGGAGAGCTTCAAGGGAACTCACCACCAATGATGTTCAGTGGGGGTTTCACAGATTCCAAGATGGGAGACCTGGAAGACATTTGACTGTGTATTTAATCTTCTTTCTCTGACTCCTCAGTGAAGACAAATAAGTGGAATCAAATAAAAGTTTCTAAAGAAACTTCTGCCTCCTCCTTGTCTTTTCAGTGGAGCTCATAAGTATAGTGGGGCAGCGGATGTGGTCGGAGTGGAGGTTCATTCCTGGGTGACTGGTACTTTGTCTATACCCTCTATCTTCATCTGACTCCAGGCATTGAGTCTCCTCTACTACAAGGGGAACACCTCCTTCCATAGACAACAGCTCAAAAATGTATTTATTCTCTAGCTCTCTTGTTTTTGCCATCATGGTCAGTGTTTCAGAACCTCAGATTATCCAGAATGCAATAGAGACCATTGGCTGCTTGAGTCATAACTGTGTGGGGCAGTGATGGAACACCATATAAGGGAATATTAAAGTTTCTCCAATATAAGTTTCAGATATGAAAGAAGGCTGGACAAGGAACATCACCACCTATAGTACATTCATAATGTGTTTCAATTGAAGGAGGGACAGTTACATCATGTTAGATGTAATTTTGACCAGGTTAAGTATATAATGCCATTGCCTTTCAAGTTTGGATAGACATATCACTATTTTCCATCTACAAGTGATAATCATAACACACAATTACACTCACTCTAGGGGTCATTGTGACTTCATTATTGTTATAAGTGTGAAGTAAGCATGAAAAAGGTGATATGAATGAGTTTCCAGTTGGAAAACGTTGAACTCATGATGGTATTCTTAGTATTCAACTTGACTACATCTATGATTAGCTAGAACCCCAATGTGGGTGGTCACACTTGTCAGATATTTTTGCTTGATCCTTTTGTGTGGCATGTTCCACATCTGAGCTAGATCTTTGAGGTGGGAAAACAGACCTTTCATTAGGGTAGATTGTCGTTAGGGCAGAGGTTCACAATCAGTTTGTCATAACCCCTTTTATGGGTGAAACAACCAACTGTATTGCAGGGATCTCCTAAAACATCTCAATCATCAGACATTTACATTAGGATTCAGAACATTAGAAAAAGTGTAGTTATGACATAGCATCAAAATAATTGTATGGTTGGGGATCACCACAACATGAGGAATTTTATTAAAAGGTTCAAAAATTAGGGAACTTGAGAACCTCTCCTTTAGAGGGTAACTCATTTGTATTTTGGCAAATACTGAAGACCAACTGAGACAGAGAAAGACAGAGACAGAGAGAGAGAGAGAGAGAGAGAGAGAGAGAGAGAGAGAGAGAGAGAGAGAGAAATATAGAGGGTGGGAAGAGACACTGACTAATATAAAACACATAACTATATTCAGCTATCAAAAGTACATTAAAGCTTGCTTGGAAGACCTGGGATTCTAACCTAAAAGATAGGGCTTCCATGGACACTGGCTACTCAGGGAGGGTCTCCTAATATGGGGCTCACATCTTAACTTTTTCACATGGGACTTTGCATACCTGCAGAACCTGTAAATATGCAGAGATCCCAAACCACTGAGGGCAGACATATCAGCAATTCAAGATCATCCTATTCTACTTAAAGAGTTGTAGGCCATCCTCAGGGTACCCGGCAACCTGTCTCCTGAGTAGAAGGAAAGCAACAGATGCATGTATCCTTCAAACCCATGCCTGTCAATTGAATTTCTTTTGGCCTGGTGTTGAAAGTCATATTAAAGTCTCTTTTTCTACTCCAGCTCTGCTCTTATATATGAGCCCTCTATTATGTTATGGCATGAGTGTATGGATAATCCCAGCAATGGGAGATAAAGGGAGCAGGAGCCCAAGTTCATGCTCATCTTTGAGTAGAAAATGGGCTGCATGATAACCTGCAATACATGTGATACTGTCTCTGTAATGCAGGGTTCCCATGGATGAGAGCTGAGGGAAATAGTCCCTGCATCCTGTAGTCATGGTTGTCTCCTGACCCAGGGAGTACTGACCACAAACCAGCCATTCAGAAGAAAGGGCTGAAAAAGATAGGTTTTATGGCTCCTATTTTGGGAAGATGGGAGAGCACTGTGAGGGATGCTTAAAACTGCATGATTGCAGCTCTGAGGATGTGAGGGTGTGGTCAGGTGAATAAGGCTAGCCGTAGCCTTAAAGACCATGGCTTGGGGTTCTTCTGCTTCCAAGAACTCTAGAGAAGTGCTGGACAATAACTGGTTACTTCCTCAGATGCAGGGAATGTTTACACTGACTAAGAGGGCAACTCACCTAATTGCCACTGTTAGATGGAAATCTGAGTGATTACTGAGCTGGAAGTTTGGTCTTTTGTAGATGGACTGGAGATAAGGGATAAACTCCTAGTATGGCTCAGACCACAAGGGGAGAGCACAGACACCAAGGGGGTCTATCCCAGATTTCGGCTCCAAAAATGTAAGTAAACTGATTGAAAACACGGGTCAGAATGGGGTTTAGCCTACCCTTGAATATTAATGCTGTGGCTCCCTGTTGGATAACTGTCCTGTTGTCTCTCAGTTCCTTTTGCTTTAAAGTGAACACAGTAGGGAAACTTTCCATCCCACAGGATAAGAACAGTGTTCCTCAACTTCCTGAGTTAGCCTGAGCTAATGGCCAAGTAGTTATAAGTAATACAAGTCTCTGTGTGTTTACTTGGGTCTGAGTGGCTGTGGACCAGGTGGGACCCAGAAAAACTTTCAGGCACATGTGTAAGCTTCTTTCTCTAACTTCTAAATAAGGAAAAATAAAGTGAAATCAAATAAAGGTCTCTAAAGGAACTCCTGCCTCCTCCTTGTCATTTCAGTGGGACTCATAAGGATAGTATGGCAGAGGATGTGGTAGTGGTGCTGGTTCATTCCTGGGTGACTCAGACATGGCCTCTACCCTCTATCTTCATCAGAGTCCTGGCATTGTGTCTCCTCTACTACAAGGGGAATCCCTGCTTCCATAAACAGCAGCTCAACACTGTATCCATTCTCTAGCCCTCATGTTGTAGCACTCATGGTTAATTTTTCAGAGCCTCAGACTCCCCAGAATGCAAAGAAAAACATTGGGAGCTGGAGACTTAGCTGTGTGTTGCAGTGACCGACATCAAGTAAGAGAATATCAAAGTTTCTCAAATGTAAGTGACAATGTCACTTATTCTAAGTTTGGAACGTGTTTCTCATTGAAAGAAAGATAGTTATATCATGTTAGATGTAATATTGACCAGGTTATATATATAATGCCTTTGCCTTTCAACACTGGATTGTCATATCACTATTTTCCTTCTACAGGTCATAGTCATATCATACAATTACACTCACTCTAGGAGTCATTTTCACTTGGTTATCTCATTTGGTAATTATACATGACATAAGGTGATACAGAAGTGTGTCAGTTAGATAGGTGTGGACTCATGATGGGTGTTCTTAGTATTCAACTTGACTACTACCACAATTAGCTAGAACTTGAAAATGGGTGGCCACAACTGTGAGGGATTTTTTCTTAATCATTTTGTGTGGCATGTTCCACTTCAGAGAAGATCTTTGACTTGGGAGAACAGATGTTTCATTAGGGCAGACTAGGATTAGGGCATGAGTTCAATGGGTTCAATCAAGGGGTCATGACCCCTATATGGGTAGAACAACCAACTGTATTACAGGGATCTCCTAACATCTAAATTATCAGAAATTTCCATTAGGATTCAGAACATTAGCAAAATTACAGTTATGAAGTATCAACAAAATAATTGCATAGTTGGG